GGACTCTAAGCAAGGGCAGCAGTCTGAAACCCAAATTCCAAGTCACTTTTCCAACCAGACATCACCGGTCAAAGCCAACATAGCCTAGATTTGGAGTACTGCATTCTCGCAGCCAAGACATAGCTGAAGAAAAACCCCGAGAAGGAGAGGTTCACAACATGCCCTGCTGAAGGCTGACTCGCCGCATCAGCAGGTGATCACATAAGGCAGCCAAGTTACTCATCGCAAGTTATTGCACCACCCACCTCGCCGTCACTGAGCAAGACTTGTTGCCTCCCAGGATCTATGCCAACAACCTTGCCTTGTCGGAAGCTGTCCCCAAAGGTGACGGAGTAGGAGATGAAAGTCTTCTTGGCAAATCCTGTGGGAAGAGGAGACAACAGGGAACTGATCTCCCTCTGTGGAGGTTAACCAGCCCCTCTTCTCCCCTCATGCCGTCCTTGCTCAGACAAAAACATTGTATGTACCTGGGACCACAGGCTGGGCCCCTGCTGTGTGTTACCTCTGCCCGGCAAATGAGCTTTAGCACCTTTGCCTCAGATATGGTGACAAGATCAGCTCCTCAGAGGCCAGGTGACACCTTTGGCTAGATTGCTTTGTCTCTGCTCACTGTACAGAATCTCCTCTACTGGTTTGCCGGTAAGTGCCCCACTGTGGTCCAGGGCGTTTCAGGCAGGATGTCAGAGGCTTTTTCTCATGTTATCCGCCTCTCAGATCAAGCTTCTGACATCCTTTTGATGCTTGTTCCCAGCCTTGAACATGAGATATTCCCTCTAAGTCCCCAGCGACTGGAGTAATGGGGTTAGCCCAGCCTCCCAAGTGAGATCCCAGACAAGCCTGAGCAGCTCACCAACAGAATCTTATCAGCCAGGGCTGAGCTGCTGAGCTGCTCGACATTTCACGTACCAGATACAGAAAGACATTCACTCATCCCTTCCAGCTGCTGCTAGTTTTAGCTTAGTCACCTTCTAAACTCTTCAAATAAAAAAAAAAACAACAACACCCGTCCGAGCAGTTTTTGCTCAGTTTTCCCAGCAGACGTGCAATAAGCTTAACACAGACGGTCTGTGGGTCCTCCCAGAGCCAAGTATTTGTTTTCAGACAGAAAACGTCAAGTCTTTCACCATCAGCAGGGCAGAGGAGGCACTTTCAGTACCCCGTTCCTTGTTACTCCCCGAGTACCTCCAAGCTCCTGCAGTCACCGGTGGGGATAAGAGCTCGCCCACCGGGACCCACGCAGGGGAAAAGCAGCGGGAATCAGCTGAGCCCTTACCGCTCTCCACGGCGGCACGGAG